CTTAGAACGCCCCATCCTGACTGCTGCAATTGATGTTGTATAATCAGATATAAGCTTGTTATTACCTCATTCCTTCGACGTTAAGCACGACTTTCTGCGCCTAGGTGAACCAAGTCACAGTGTTTTGTTAGCGGTGACATGGAGTTCCTCATGATAAAGAATAAGGGGTATTTCTGAACAAAAGACCTCTGCCCTTGAGTGATACTCCACCAGAATCAAAGAAACGCAGGGGCTAAGGTCCCGATCCCTGGCTGCATTTCACAATTTCTCCAAATGCTGAACAGGAAGTTCGACAAGAAGCTTCTGCAATCACAGCCTTGAAATTCCAGAAGTGGATAAGCTTTAATAGTATTCATTATATCCATTTACCTAAAGTCTCATAGTAATGGTTCTGAAGTGGTAAAAGAAAAGAGGAGACTTTGTTGATAAGTACCATTTGGGCAAGAGAGTGCCGTTTATCCAACTCGGCTTAACAATGCCTGTACATAAATGATTGCGCCCAGCTAACAAGCTGTAGCAAGTCATTCCAACGGATATAAAAGAAACAAACGCAAATGATTTTCAGTCTCCTGATTGGCCAACTGATATGTCCGAGGTATAAATAAAGTTGGGAAATTGTCTTGATCACATGGATTCCAATCATGCTTTTAGTCAATCTGCTTCAAATCATGCAGTTCTTAAATGCATCAGAAGTTGTGTATTATTTCAGCTTAATCTTAGTAAGTGTTACTATAGAGTTAAATGTATTATTTATATTTTATACAAAAAAACTAGTTTTATGCTTCTTCCATTGGAGGTCTATTTAAGCTGATCAGCTACGAGCGTCCTAACTTCTAAAGGTGCCTACATGCGAATTTTGCGAACAGGATCACTCAAAGAGTGAATCTGACTATGCACTCCAAACCATACTACTCAAAACGTAGAGAACCATTTAAGTAGCTAGCATGGTTTTCCAGGAAAACTCCACCCTTAGGCAATTTTTAAAGGCGAAATCGCCACCAGGTAGAAAAGATACAATTTAAAGTTTTACAGTGTTGACTTAGAAGTCAAAATGACAAATATGCCTTTCGTAGGACTAAAAAGTTTCAAGTTCTCATACCTCACGCAATTCGTAAAACAGTTTACAAAAGAAGCACCAATTTAATAACCACACACCTCCAATTGCCAGACCTGAAATTTACGTTATAGAGCCCTACACAACTGCAAGTTGTGGTTTTGCCAACAGCCGTTCATGAGCTCCCTGTGTCTACCATAGTAAGAGCCGGATTCTCCCCACCTGGCCACCTCCCCCACCAACCCTCATCACATTTTTACCACCTTCACTAGTAATAGTAACTCTTCACACCCCCAAATGATCATGGTGCCACTCATCAACGCCGCAGAAAGAGATGTCAGTTAAGTGTTCTAAAACACTGTGGTTTAATTGAGTCATGTTACCCACACACACACACACACTCCCAGGATTCCGACTCATAATTGCTGAGTTAGTCAATGCAGTCAATCTGGCATTCATTTGATTTACTTGACTAAAGTATTAATCAATTTTGCTTTATTAATAGCATGAGGAGTTTCAAATTCCATGAGTTTAATTAAAATGGGAGTCTCTTAACTTTGCAAAACAAGTCAACGAACAACCGACCGCCCGGCCGAACGAGCGAGCACACCAATAGGCGAAGTTATCGACGCAGTGAGGGTGTGGCTGTCAGCCGTGCAATACACAGTAGAGTTCCCAGAAGGCTGTACGATGGTGTAGGTTTCAGATTCCATCATAGCAAATAGCCATGACAGAAACTAGGAGCGAATAGGCTGAATGCCATGTGGGAGAGCCACGTCGACTGATATTGAGACGGAGGATGAGGTGCGAGCAGCTATAGTGGAATATAATGCGACTTTGATTTGTCCTCTCTGCTATTCTAAAATGTGGTTGGAGATAAGCTGGAAATATAAAGAAGTTAGCTAAACAGCTATGTGTTTGTACTTGAGAGCAATTAAAGAAGGATCAAAAGGTACCAAAAAGTAGCCGCAAAACTCAGTTTAAAGCAACTTCTTTTAGATCTCCTTTGGTAGTTCTGCTTACCTACGCGTCAAGTTCACAGTTAACTTGTTCTTGAAAATGTTACAAAGAGACCTGTTGAATCAAAACAGAAAATGTCATGACTGACCCTTACTCCTTTATGTGTCACGCCTTTCAACCAGTACTAAATTGCGTTATGGATTGTGCAAATCAATTTGTCAACAGGTTACAGAGTTTGGATTAAAAACAAAAAGACTAAAACAAGTCATTTCGCGTCAAAAGAAAAGGAGAAAAAGTAGCAGTTTTGGTATAAACTCAAACGGAATGAAAGAGGAATGCGACTGGCCAATCAACGCTTGGAGCCCTCATCAAGTTGACGTGTAATCTCTCCTCGAAAGATGACTTTAACCTTGACAAGGGTCCACACAGAAGAGGCACGTGTGCTGAAATCAAGGTGGTGGATAAAATAAATGCATCCATTATACACAAAGTGTGATTAAGTGGCAGTCAGGTTTGACGCACTTGTTGTTCCAAAAGTTTGTTCGATTATTTGAAACAGATCGGCGAGGTCATGGTTTAGTGATGAGAGCTGTGTAGGCCAATTGGCAGGTAGATAAGCAAATAGGCTAGTGGTAGAGTAGACGGTTAAGTGAGTGGGCAGACAAGTAGCTTGAGGAGGTAGAGAGACGAGCAAAGAGGTAGATAGGTAGGGGGACAGGTGAAAAAGGTTTGGTAAAATGGATGGGCAAAGATGAACTACAGGAGGCAGCCGTCCGATAGGTACTTCATTCAAACAGGGACTTATAATTTCGCATATTCTGTGGTAATACACGCGGCATTACCGAAGCCATTTACGTCTGTCCCATTTATAATCATGATGGGTGGCACATTTGTCATTCATGAATCTGTGCTCAAAGTAGTAGGCAATGGCAGTTTGAGGGCTTTTGTCTACAAGAAAGACGAGGTGAAGACCCTTCAATGCATCCTCTTACAGGAGATGCTCAATCATTCGGTAGGAAGACATTTAGAGTGTGTAAATATTTCAAATATTGCAGCCCCAGATGTCTCTCTAGCCAGCATCAACCATCCCTGCAAGCAAACACTTAGCTCATGGAACACCAAATAGACGTATGACTTATAGCATAACAAAATTGCACAAGCGATGAGGGCTCTTATGCGAGAAGTGAACACAATCACCACCGAAAGCAACACACTTGAAAAGATGGTGAAAGTTTATCCTTGAGTGGTTTAGGCATAGTGGCAAAACTTATTCTATCAAAGTTTTAAAGCCTTATTTATGCATTTTTTAAGTTTATGAGTGTAGCAATAACCTAC